GCGCAGGACCCTCAAGCTCCCAGGTAGAGGACCCGTCTTCAGAGGATAAGAACCACCCGAGGTGAGTGAGAAGGGAATTTTTTATTTTTATTTTTATTTTATATGTATATATATAATAATAATAATACTAATAAAAACAAAAACAACAATATATATATATATATATATATATATATATATATATATATATATATTTGTTTTGTTTTTGTGTATATAGCTATATATAAACAAAAAAGACAAGACTGACAAACCTAAAATATAGAACATATCTCCTTGATACCATTTGGAAGAAAATTGAACTCAAAGTCTATTAAAACTTCAGTGCTGCATACCGTCCAAAGTTTCATTTTATTTCTCTCCTGTAGGCTTGTGATACTCTGTCAGTCTGGAAGCATAAAACTGAAAAATCAAGCAAAGGTGATGTGACACTGCTCATTACTCATTTACCAGCTGCTGCTTAACCGAGCTCCATGTAGCTGCTCCGACTCATCGGCATGGGCGAAGCAGCAGTCGGATAACGACTCATGTTCTGAACTTCAGCTGCTGCTTTCCTTTACTCATCGGCGATCTAGAGATATCCAGATGTCCGTGTTTAACCAACGGGGCCTCAACGACGTACCCCCTTTTTTTATTCGATGAGCTCAGGAGCAGATCCGAGTGCACACACAGTCAGTGCAACCTCACACAGCTGCTGCGTGTAGCCGTCGACACCCATTAAAAAACGAATGTCACAGCCAGAGTCATAACAAGCCAAAGCTCTGTCGTTATTACGGTCGTGGTGACAGCTGTGTCACCCCCCCCAAGCCTGCAGTCATGATCACAGCTACAGTCTGTCCCAGCTGCGGTCAGGGATGGAGCTCCTCTTGTTTCCATCGACCGAAACTATAAACGTCCTCCTGAGACTCTCACTGTAATAACCAGCAAGATTATATAAATACGAACGAACGCAGGTTAATCTTTGGGCCTAAATGAATAATTATGATCGGAATGAACAGAAAGCATATGGTGACATTTCGGAAACACACATTATCCATCTTGTTGACCTAACTCCAAACAACTTAAGTTTCAGTTTCAGACTTTCATTTTTCCTGCGTTTGTTTTGATGTTTATAAGTATCAACGTTTTGTGTAGCTTTGAGGGTGTTTTTTTTACTGCTGTACGTATTATCTGGTGCACTAAAGAAGAGGATCGATCATTTTCAGCGTTGCTGTTTCTGACATGTCACGTGCACTTAAATATCCGAAGGCACCAAGTGCCATTTGCTTGATAAATTCAGTGCAACACTTTATTGCAGTGTTTTCAAGGTCAGTATTTTCACTCCTGAGCTTGTTTTGAATATGATTCACGAGAGAAATAAGAAAAGAGAAGCATCTCGCCCTAGCTCTGTCAGCTCATCTTTGCAAACAAGCTCCCTCCCCCTTTCGAACTTTCTGAAAACTTATTCCTGTCTTCACAGAAAATTCAAGATCAAAATTTAAACCTTCCAAGAAACATAACTGCTGGAAATGGCAATTTCTTGACTCTGTAGCAGCCCGAGTCCAAACCAAGAGTCGATTATTAGAGCTGACAGCATCAACTAGAACATAAAGGCCCATCCGTGCCTTCCATCACTCTGGCGGCAACGAAACATATTAATGTGATGTTTAAATGAGCGTCATGGTGCTTTTTCTGCTACAGCTTGTGACAGCAGTCTTAGTATGTCAGACAGAGCCTCGGTTTCATCGCGACACAAGTCGGCACTGAATCCTGTCACTTTAATGGATGGGCACACTCTGTGAGTGGGAGTTAAATTTTCAAGGACCAGATGTTTGGAAGAATTGAACAGATACGAAGCAAATAACAGGTTAAATCAAATGAGCTCGGTTTCTTTTTGCAGCAACTGGTGTTTCTGTGTGGCTGTATTTATTTTATCTTTTTGGTAGACTTGGTCAGCATCAGCTTTTCTACTCATCTCTTTTTATAGTCCCACTGTAATTAACATACCAACAAACCTATGTTATACACATTGTATGTTCATATTTGTAACTTGCAGACAGCCCTTCTGTTTGTGTAAACTGAGCTTTTGACTCGCACAAATTTCTTGTACAATCCTCATTATTTAAGCTTTTTTTCCACAATTTTCTACCTTCTGACACTTTTTGATTACATAATGCATGAGCAAATGTATAATAGCCTTAATTTTTCACTGCTTAAATACTGATGGGTTGTGCCAAAAATGTATTGGACCAGTATTTCCTTTCATGTACTAAAGTTGAAGGTCAGCCAAGTTGCCGTGATTCAGAAAAGTTTGTTGCCAGAAGCGCTCTGTTTGAATCCATCTCCATTTACATTGTTAGGGGTGAGATTGTAATGGGATTCCTTAAAAGGGTTTTCTGTGAGTTTATCAGTTTCAGACTGATCAAATGCCACCATTGACGAAATGCATGCAAAAGTACAAACTTTTTAATATTTTGCCACATTACAACAGCAACCATGAGTATATTTGATCAAGTTTTTAGGTAAAAGACTAACAAACTAGAGCATAACAATGATACAATATGAGGCTGCGTTCAGCCTCCTTCACTCTGACAATCATGAATACAGTATAGAGGAAACAGGTGCTGACAGAAATCCCCTAATAAGTAATGATTTACTTATTAACTAATTTGCGTTATGCAAATAAACTTCACTCGACTTAATTAGAAAACCACTTCTGTGCAAATTACAGTTGTTCTCTGAAGACTTTGGAGGTTTGTTAGACAACATTACTGAACAAACAGCATCAAGGGCAGAAAGAAAGGCCATGTTGAAAGAAAGACACAAGTTCTTGTCATCTTGTTGCAAGCCATGGAGGACACATTAAAGGTGTGAAAGAAACTACACTTACCAGATGGAGCTGGAGCTGAGGTGTAAATTAGTGCAGAATGCCACCTAATTTACAGTAACACACTGTATAGCATGAGCCTTTGCTGAACTTTCTCATCAGCAATACATCCTGGAGAAATTCTACATTAGCAGCTCCGGAAGGGCCGTAAATTAGAAATGAAGGGTCGTCCTGTAGCAGGGATCCGTGGACCGGCGCTGGGGGCCCTCCGAGGCCACACAAGCCACATTTTCAATTCTTCAAATAAATCCTTCTGCGGGCAGGCCGGGCCACGAAGCAGTTAGTCACAGCAGCATAGGGAAGCAGAAAGAGGGACTCTCATGATGGCTGCATCTCTTCTCCTCCGCTGACACTGTAACACTCTCCTCTGCCGGTCCCAGGAGCCCCAAAGAGCATCACAGCAGACAAAACAGGACTGTCACCACACGTTACTAGAGATACACCTCAGTATTTCTATCGCCCTTTCTCCATCTTTTTTATTTTTCTTGCATCCTTCCTATTCTTTACATGTCGACAGGTAGCCTGATTGATGGGTGGCTGGACAGACAATATCTCTCTGTTCATCACACATTATGCTTCACGGGCCCCGCGTATCTCTGGCTCGGACGATCTATTTCAAATGTGGCCTCCCACTGATTGGCATGTCGACACCGGCGTGATTTCCACTGCCTGCTCAAATGTGACTGTGTTTGTTGTGCCGCCCATTCAAATCCAGCCGGGATCCGACGCGGAGGCGGCAGCGGGGCCCATCAGGTCTGAGCAGGCAGCGCAAAATCCGGCCCTTGTTGACTGACACGCCAATCAGCCGCGGACAGGAGCCGAGAGCCTGTTCGTGGCGCAAAACGCAGCCTGTGCCTTCAAATATGACGTCTTCATTTTGTTCTCGCTTTGTCTTATTTATTCATTTATTTATTTACCGCTTTGTGAACACAGGAAACGATGTGATTTGTTCTTGTATTTTTTGTTTATTTATTTATCTATTTTTACTTTGCCAATGCTTGGAGAAGAGCACAAATATCACATCTTTCGCGACTGAAATGAAGGACTTGATCCGGCAGATAAGATGAAGAGGCGGCCGGGTTTTAAGAGAGCTCTCTGGAGGATTTTGGAGTTGTCGGGTGGGTGGGGAGGTGACGGCATGTGAAGGGCCACAGCCACAATCAAATGACTGCAATTAGCAGAGGAAGCGCAGGAGACGAGTGCCCCCAAGTGTTCACTTGATGTATAAATACATAAACATGGCTGTCTGGGTGGAATCACCTGGAAGGAAGGAATCGTCTCCGTACACCGACTCTGTGCTGCTCTGAAATCGTCAGTCTAATTGTTGAGAGGTCTCTGTGTATGTCTGTCACACCTCTTAATGTGAAATCAAAACCTGAGCTGCTCAGGCTGCAGATTTGCTGGAACGGGATTGAGTGAAATTTCCTTGAACATTTGCTGCTATACATCTTTTAAACTGTGTGTAATCAACTGTCGTAGAGAGTTTTATAGAAAGCAGGTCCGCGCTTTGGCTGCTCTCTGATTCATGGATGGATTCCTCTGAATAACCCTTTTAGCGGCAGTTCTCCGTGAACAAGCACTAAGACTGTACTGACCTATATTATTTCATGTATTTTGGCTTCAAGTCGTTCTTTTAGCTATCCTTATCCCCTGGTGTGACCCAACAGCTGTAATCTTTTAAAACAGGACGGCATGCATCACTCATCCATTTCCTTGTTGGTGGATGACTTCCACAGGCAGAGTGCTATCAGTAGGTAACCAAGGTGAACCATGAAGGCCAGATGACTCAAACTACTTCAAAGACGGCCATTGTTATTTTTTTCTCTCTCTCTCTCTCTCTGTTCTGCAAAGCGGCAGAGCCACAGACTTATCTCTAACAGTGAGCAGTGTCGGATGAAAGGATATTGGCTCCAAAAAAAACATACCTTTATTAAAGCAAGCGTAAGCGATGCATATGAAATTATTCTAAAGGTCAGAGTAAACCAATGTTGGTGAGAGAGAGACAAAAAAGAAAAGCTTAATTTATTCTGACTCAGTGTCAGCTTTCTTCATCTGAATATCCCATTAAGCCTAATGTCGCACCCCATCCTCTCCCTCAGGAGCTAAAGTCCCGTCCCTGTGGGAACCTGCTGATAGCAGGTAGACTTTGCCCCAGAGAGGAACAACTGCTTCCTGGTTTTCACAGCAGAGGTAAGGCAATACATTATGAACTACGGTTGTACTGAGCTTCTTTCAACAAATATCCTTAATTAAATATCTTAGAAGATTTTAAATACACAAAGGGTTCTTTAAATAAATGAAAATAAAGGAGTTTTTTTTCTTTTTCCTCATTCTGAAAATAATGACGCTTTTGAGTATGAACAGAAACCGAGTTTCACTTCATTGTGTCGGCTGCCTGACGAAGCTCGAGTAGAGAACAGAAGAGGATTTTTATCTCTTAGAAGATTCCTTATAAGAGCAAAAGATGAATCAATTCACAAAAACACCCCCAGAGAATTAACGTTATTGTATCACTGGTGGGTTTATTTTAAAGTGCTACTGTTTGAAGCTATTCGGCGTGCTCTCTGTTCGTCATCATTGTTTTTCCACCACTTTATAGTGCAGAGCACTGCTCATTGATGCCCTAATTATGACTTGCTCAAATACCAGATTAAAGGGAAAACATGTCTTTTATGTACTTGCTACTTATAAAACCGAATTCCCAATATTTCTATTGTTATTATTATTCTATCTGTTCTGTGTGCCTTGTCTTTCATGACGACAGCTGGATTTCCTCTGAGATCAATTAACCACGTTCTCTCTGACCATTAACAATACATACAGCTCTATTAAGTTTGGGGGGTTAAGGCCATAATTATGGATGTTAGTCATGGCTCACTGTGTGTTTGTGCAATGCATCATTTTGTAATTACCCATTTATTTGTTCCCTGCTGACAGCGCCCCATTTGCCAGTTTAGCATCACTGATGAAACCCCAGATATTGTCTAAAAGGATGCCTCTGGTCCTGATCCATCACCCTAACTTACCTTCATGTGTGTCGTGTCTTCTCTCTCGTCAGTTTTGTTGACGGAAAACAAATCGGGTTATTGCAATTAGTGAAATGGAGCAAACAAATAGCAGCACTGGCGAAGGACATGAACTTCGCCCTCCTCCCTACAGCCCTTTGAACTATGATCAAAGCTCCTACACGGGAATGACATACCAGGTTAGTGACATCTGAATACCACAGGCAGTCTTGTAATGTACGCAGTAAACTGTATTTTAATTGAAGGTTAATAATCTCAGTAAAACACATCGTCATCGTGAGATCATAAAACATTTATTTAATCCAAATAAACACTGCTTGTAAATACAAACAAATAGCTTGAAAATGACTGTCGAGCTTTCATTTGAACCATCCTTTTTCGGGTATGAAATGATGGTATTGCGTTTTGAAAACAGCGACTGTGTGCCCAGATCTAAGCTTATTCATTTGCCACACTGGGAAATATTTTGTTTGAGAGAAATGTGATATGTTTTGTGAATATAAACATAATTTTGGCTCAGTAGTTGATCACTCTTTTAGAGGGAATATGTACATTATTTTGAAGCGGTTGGTTTACTGTCAATCATCCAACTTTGAAGCACAAACAATAAATTGTCAACTAGTGTGATACTTGAGTGATACTGAAAAATCAAATGACTTTATATTTCTAGAAGAGAGTTGAACTTTTAGGATAGAAACTCACTTAATTTAATTTTCTCAATCTGCTAACGGCTAATGAAAACATGACATTCAAAGTCAAGATATGACATTAGAGCAATAGAAAAAATAAAAACAGAACTTTGGGCTTATTAAAAAGAATGTTTAGTACCTGCTTAAGGATTGGTGTTTTCAAAAAGTACTTTTAATCTGAGAACCAAGACTCATCAGCTTGATATCAAGAATCAAATCTATACAGAAACCAAATCAAAACATACTTCAACAAAGCATTAGTATAAGGACTTTAAAATTATGCACCAATTTCATATTTCTGCAATATAACATGAGTGCATAAACTTTGGACCTGCTATTTGCTGATGATGAATTTCTGTAAACTTCTGACCGACGTTGTAGGTTGGCAAGGGAAACATTGCAGTCATCTCTCCTCCTGAGTCCTACAACAACATGGTCCGTCCGGAGGACCCACCTGCATTTGGAGGTGACCAGTATGGTGGTCAGGCTCCGCCTCTATACGCCAGCGAATCAGAGGAGATTGGTTTCAGTGTGGCTGCGATACGGCGAGGTGAGAAAGACAAGGTCACAGGGATGAATGTTTTTCTCACGACCAAGATTTCTGCATCGTCACTGAAACCAAATAAAAAAGTTTCAATAGTGCACACCATAAACATCCTCCTGCCTGCATTCCTTTGACAAACTCTCCATGTTGTTGTCTTTTTCATTTCTCTCTGCTTTGCTTTGCTTTGCTTTCCGTTTTCTCTTCTTCTGTTTCACAGGTTTTGTGCGGAAAGTCTACCTGACCTTGATGATTCAGCTGCTGCTCACTGTTGGGATCATCTGCGCCTTTCTTTACTGGTGAGGCTCAGACTCCCTCAGGAGTTCTCTGAATCCGTGTCAGAAGTCCCTCCATAAAAATAGCTGCCGCGTGGCCTGCCTGCGTGTGAAAGCATGCCTCATGCAAAAGTAACAAAAGCAGAGTTGCCACCATGGATATATGAGCAACATCATGGCTTATATCCTACGGTGGCAGCTAATGGTACAGTAGAGATTATGTTTTAGTTTGCGTTAGATTGAAGCATTTGTGTTTCGCAGCGAAAGGCTGCAACAGCATTTTCTGACATGATGTTCATACCCTGCATGTGAAATGCTCAGTCCTGTGTTACACTTGCACCAGACATTCGTTCCTCTGCTTCTATTAAATAAATTATGCCTCTATTAAAGAACAGTGCTCTGTTTTTCTTATGAAATAACAGGGACACACTGAAGACGTGGGTTCATGAGAACAACTGGTTCTCCTACACCATGATGTAAGTCAAGACACTCTGATTGAGCCGTTTTGATCCTTGATCCATGCCCTTTTTAGTTAATTAAAACCTTCCACGTGGCAACCCAGAGAGCTACCAGCGACACAGCGGTGGTTTCACTGCATTTGTCTTTTTATAGGCTGCTTATTTGATATTTATGATGCAGGTCAGTGGTGGTGGTCCTTATTCTGGTTTTGTCCTGCTGCGATAACATCCGTCGCCAAGTGCCCCTCAATTTTATAGCTCTGGGTTTGTTTGTGAGTAGAAGCAGCACCATCCAGGCAGCAAATTAAGCCACCACCATCCATGTTCTGTTTAATGTTTTTTTTTTTTTTTCCCGTCTCTTCTTTTTCTCTCTCAGACTGTTGCAGAGGGCCTGATGCTTGGATCTGTGGCAGCGTGAGTGTTTGTTTCAGAGGATAACCTCCACATGACACCAACTCATTTGCACAATAATAATCCGATTTGATCCAAATCTGGTAACGTGTTCGACGCCAAGCTTGAAGGCATCAAACTAGATATCATTTTTGGTGGCCATCCAAAAGCGAAGGATGCGGTATCACATTTTCTGAGCTTTTGGCTGGGAATGAACCAGAGGCATGACGGACTCAAACCAATTTCTCTGCACCAGAAGAATCTGTCTGTTATTTATTTATTTATTACATTCTGTCAGTCTGGTATCTCTTTTCTTACCTACAAGTCAATCTGTCAGACATATCAGCCCAGGAGTGACTATCTCTAACCCTGTGAAATTATCATATTTATGGTATTTTGCTCAAATTTTAGATATAGTGCCTTGCAAAATATATATATATAGCTCTAAACTTTCACACATTTTGCCACATTGTAACCACAAACTGAGTTGTATTGGCACATTAAGTTGTAGACCATCACAAAGCACCTCATAACTGCGGAGTAATAATAATGCATGGTTTAAGCATTCTGAAAAGTGTGGCATGCATTTAAATTCAGACACCTTTAGTGTGATATCTTCAGTTTAAATATTGTGAGTAATTCAATCTCAGTGTAAATACTGGTGTTGTTTAAACACATAAAAGGTTTGCATCAGAAAACAACAACAACAGATCCAGGATCGCAGCAGACAGGTCAGGGAGAAAAGTTGTGGAGTTTAAAGTCAGGCTAGGTTGTAAAACAACAACCCTCAGATCACTCTTCAGTCTACCATTCCACAATGTACATCTCCTTTTATTGCATAACTTGCTGTTGACAAACCGTCTTCATGCTCTTGAGGTTTTTTGCCAAGAGGAATGGCCAACAAAAAAAAACAAAAAACAAACAAACAAACAAAAAAACAGGAGAGACATAACGTAACAGATGTTTAGCTGTAATTGCTGTGATAAGAGGCTCTACAAAGCACTGAGTCCAGAGGCAGGATCCAAATTTCTGACTCAATTTCCATATCTGGTTTAGTAACAAAAAAATATCAATAAATCATTTTAATATCTCTTCACAATTATATCCTAGTACTAGTCAATCTTGCACATAAATCCCAGGTAAAAAAAAAAAAAACTGTGTTTGCTAAATGCCAACTACTTACTGACAAATGGTTATTTTCAAGATGCCTTTCCAACACGCAGCGTCTGTTTGATATATCTGTCTGCAGGTACTATGACACCGAGGCAGTTCTGTGGGCTGTGGGCGCGACGGCTCTTGTTTCCTTTGGCATGAGTCTATTTGCCATGCAGTCAAAGGTAAGATCAGTCACACACTCTGGGCTTGTGTTTTGCAGCACAGCCAAAAGTGACATTTTATAAACTACAGCGGCTTATCGGCCGCTCATAAATACCCGCGCTGCGAGATGTGTTTCCGTCGCAGTCATCTGGAACATGTTGGCCAGGCTTCCTGATGCAGCGCAGGCTGAGGTATAATGCTTTGATGGGATTGCTGTCCAGGCAAAACTATGATTATTGCTGAAATCAGTGTTGGTGTCAGTCAAATAATTCCTCCCATCCACCAGCTCGCCTGAACTCCTCTGAGCCGAGGCTTTCACTGTAAATCTGTGATTACTTGCAAAGTCACAGCATTTGTAATGAATCTGCTCATTAATTTATTTACTCAAAAAAGGACTTGAGAAGAGATTTTTCTACTTTAGTAACTCACATGCAATCAGTAATAGAATTTACCTGAAGACTGCTGCAATATATGTTTATGTGTATGTGTGTGTATTCTTTGTAACATTATGATGGGGATGGAAATTTACTGTCCATCTATATGATTAATAAGCCTATTTTGGATATTTATATGTTCTGTAAATGTTGTTGAAAATCATGGCCCAATAGAGACAAACCGGTTGCTATAACTTTATTTTGGGGATTCATTTTGGTCAGGTTGAGGAATTATTACGGTGTTGTGTTTCAACGGGAAAACACAGCAGCTATTCAGGTTTTGAAGAACTCCTGGACGCAGATTTTGTTTTGCTTTAGAAAGAAATGTGTTTGTTTAGACACATTCTGCAGTGAGATACACAATGCCTCAACACAAAAGCAAAAAAAAAATATATATATATCACACAAAGTCGATTCTTCATATTTTCCAAATTTAGCTAATTTTCTAGTTTGTGGTGGAGCCGAATGGTGCTGCTGTGATTTTGTGTCTGCTAAAGGTTTTGAGTTGTTACATAAGAAAATGTAATTTTGAAAAAAACTCAAGTAAGTTAGTGGAGTTGCTGGTCTTTATTTCTTTTTGTTCAAAACGCAGCCACCCGCCTCAACACCTTTTATTTTGCCGGGTTATTTTTTCTACCCAGTTTGACCATTTAAAGTGCTTTTATGTTGTCTGATTTTGTCGCACAGATAAATAGATCATTCTACTACTCTCTGGCTTGATCAGCAGCCATTAATATCTTATACATCAAAAGACTCCACCAAAGATAAACGTCAATGGAAAATGTTTGTAGTACGAAGTATTCAGAAAATAAATATTCTGTGGGGAAAAACCGTGTTAGGCATCTTTATGAAAATACTTCAGTACAAAGCTGATATGTGTTTCAAATTAAGTTCATTTTGTTTGCATGACATATAGGCAAAATGACTATTATGTAGCCTTTATGTTGCTCCATTCCCAATTATAGATTGAATATTTAGTAAAAACTGCTGTTTTTATGATTATGATTTTTTTTTTTTTTTTTACTGAATGCCAGTAAGGAGGGCTCTGAAAGTGTATGTTACTAATGTTACTAATGCTCCTTGTTCTTATTAAGAATAAAACAATGTAGATCTCAAATGAATACAAACTCTGTGTTGTGAAAAGTGACCACCCGGCTCGGACTGCATCGGCAGAGCGAGTGGCCACAGTCACAACCAGTTATGTTTTACAACTGGTCGTTCATCTTGCAGCTCCCAACACGTCTTTGACTGCAGTTCACACTATGCACAGAGCCTGTTGATCTCTGTCACTGCGAAATAAATGTCAAACAGGCCACCTCACCTGTTTGGCTCGTAGCTCCTCAGGTGATCAGTGTTCTTTCTACAGGGGCCATCTTTTTACTGTCCGTATGAAAAGGCCACACGGGCCAGTAGGTCATATCTACTGTCCTCCTCGGCGTCTGCAGACTGTTGATTAATAGCTCTGGACAATTATATCCAGAGCTATTAGGATGTTCTTTTTATGTGGCGCTCCAGTATGTCTTTGTCATTTCTCTCCCTGCAGAGCCCCTCAGCTTAGCCGCAATACCACAGATGGCCTTGAGGATAAATGAAAGAATTCCTGTGCAGCTTTTATTTATTAATGAAAAAAAATTTTTTTTTTCATAATATTTTTTTTCTTTTTTTCCTCTCCTTTGTTTCTTGTCGTCAGTGGGACTTTACCGCTGGAGCTGGGTGCTTGTGGATGTTTGCCTGGTCCTTATTTTCCTTCTTACTGATGTGTGCCATCATCCGATCACAGGTGACAATGTCGCGCTCATGCATGTCTGTGGGAAGACCAGACAGGGCAGGAGAAATGTTTTACAGTCTGCCTGGTTTTATCATCTGACTGCATTGACCTATAAGCTACTATAAAGATGGACACACGCCTTCTTAAACTTCCAAGGGGGTGACACATTTCTCCGAATGATGCATATCACTATAAAACCCTGTTTTAGGCATTTGCTAGTCATAATGTTTAGAGAATTAGCAAATATCAACAGTGTTTAGTGTTTTAATTTGATTAAATGGAACTGAAAACGAATGTTGCAATCTTAAAGGGATGGTCACACAGCTCTGACTTCTCTTTCCATGCAGTGCCTTGTAAAAATGTTAATGCTTAAGTGATAGACCAAAGTTAGGCAAGTCAAGTTTATTTGTTCAACAAATTTTAGCAACAAGACTACTAAAGTGTGACTACTTTTTTGTGTTTTATGGAAATATAAAAAGTTGTGCATTATTGTAAAGTGGAAGGAAAACACATTCAGATGAAACACCTCCAGAAGTCACAGAAACAAACAAACAAAACAAAGAACAACCTTACGTGTGGGGGTAAAACTAACACCGCACATCAACCTGAGCGCCCCAGTCACATAATGATGGTGGCAGCATCATGCTGTGGGATCCTTTTCCTTATGCAAGAACAGACAGGTACGTTTTAGTGGTAGATGGATAAGAGATACTTTTTTGTTTAGATTATTATTTTTTGTTCATTTTTAACTTTTCCATCCACAAGTCAAAAACACAATCCTGCAAAAACAAGACAGATATAAGAAAAAGACAAAACTAACAGAAATAGATGAATGCTATTTAAATTCCTGTCAATGACAAGAGCACAAAGTTCTGAAAGAAAACATATTTGAGGCTAGAAAATTCTCTGATCTGATTTTTATAGAGCCTTATTAACCATGGCTTTGATGGAAACTTGGAATTAGGGTTGGAAGGAGGATTGAAGAACACTCTGGATTGGGGTTGGAAGTGGAGCTGGGATTTGACTTGGAATAAGGATTGGAAAAACGGTTGGATGGAGGGCTGAGTTGGAGTTAAATTCCAACCCTCCTTCCAACATCCATTCAAATTTTCACCAAACACATTCAGCTGACAGAATTCACACTGAAAAGGCATTTTGTTCTGGTTGTAATTTGAATTTTAAATGTGCTTACACGCATTTGTGGAATAAGTAATTACAAAGACGTGTTGTTACATCCCCACTTATTTTACCTCTCGTTTCTTTCTGCAGTTTCTCTACATCTTCTACGCCTACCTGGGAACTGTGTTGTTTTCTTTAGTAAGTACACTCATACCCCCACGACAGCCAGAGATTGTCTGCAGCGGTCAGCATCAAAAATCAAATGCAAACAAGTTTTGCAAAAGACAGAAACTGACATTAAAGAAGCTCTAAAGTCAAGCGAATGCTTGTGACTAAGCTTTGATCCTCCAGGCCACGCGGGCTGCCACCAGGGTTAGTCCCTGTTCTTAGTGTAACTCATATGACCCCCTGTGCCCTTTCATTTCAATTATGCACTGCAGAACAGCAGTGGGCTTCATTTGCAGCCACATTTCCTGAGTGGTTTTGGCATTAACAGCAAATGTTGTGACCCGTCCCGTCAGCTAGCGGAACAGACTGCATCCTGCATGCAAAGCCGAACATGCTGTCAGCAGCAAGTCACAACTCATTTTCAACTGCAACACTCAAGCTGCACAATAATTTATGTTTGTTGTTTATATGCACACTCTCATCCCTAGAAAAAAAAAAAAAAAAAGGTCTGCGTTTGTTTTCAGAGCCGAGCTAATAAAGGCTTTTCTCTTTCATCATGTAAGTACGCCGTCTTCAGATGTCAGGGATGTAACAGCGTCTTTGTCTGCCTGTCTCTCTGCAGTACTTGGTGTTCGACACTCAGCTGATTCTCGGGGGGAAACACAGGAAGTATGAAATCTCTCCCGAGGAGTACGTGTTTGCTGCTCTCAACCTCTACCTGGACATCGTTACCTTGTTCCTCCTCCTGCTGCAAATCATTAACTTCTGTCGTTGAACTTATTTTCTTCTTATACATTTTATACACCTCATATTACATGACGAAAGGTAGTTATGTCACATTTAAATTCAAACATTTGCAGTGTGGGTATGATGAAGCTTTTATTATGCATCAGAATTTTGAAATATTTTCCAGTCATATTGAATACCGTAAGCTTTGCAACATTATTGAAGCTTTAAATATTTGTTGATATCCTAGTTTGTATATAAATGGATGTAAAAACTTAAAAATAAAATACATTTCATTCAATGTGTTTTCTTTTTTAAACTTTTTTTTTGTTTGTTTGTGGTCTGGCTTGTGGCTTGCAAGTTTTTTTTATATCCATGTTCAAAGATCAAAATACTAAAAAGAAAAAAACAAGCGCAAGGCATCTGATACAACTGAATGTTTCAAAGCAGTGATGACTAGATACATGGGATAAATCCTTGATTTACAGTCAAACACTTTCTCACTCGGTTGGCTCAGACACTGATAAAAAAAAAAATTAAAAATTCACTTCGCACTTATATAATCACGTAGGAGGAACATTTCAGGTAACCCTCTGATCTATTTAATATGGTGAATTTGTAAAAAAAAAAGTATACCTCACTTTTCTAGTGGGTTTTACACATTAGAAAATGTTTTTGCAAACAACATCCATTGAAAGTTTGTTGGTCTCGGCTCCATCAGAGCAGTCTGTCCTCTGTGGCATAGGCTGTGCTGCATTTTCTCGTCTCATTCTTGGGTCATTCCTTCCCTTGAAACCAACTTCATAGTATTTTCATATTCAGGGCATGTAGAGTGGTTGTTTTCACCTTTAATAATCTCACCGCCTTTTGCTGCACAGAAATTTTAGGGGAAGTAAGAGCGCTCACTCTATTTTTTTCCTTAGTTGCCAGTAAGTGGTGCCAATTTGATGCCACTCCTTTTGAAAGGGTGTTTTTTTTCCCTCCCATCAAGATAACAATCTGTTTTTAGTTTGCAACAATAGGCTGTCACCTTGTGTGGTTCGATGACAGGTCATCAACCATGTGTCGTAGTGGAGTGGGACTCAAAAGGCTGTTTTTATGTAAAAAACTCCCCAAAAAACATGATTTCAAGTAACTTGTCTGATTTGACTAACAATTCTGAGGATGTTTTTTTTTTTCCTATTAAGATTTTTTTTCTTGGCTTTAAAATATTTCTGCACTCAAGGAACTCAACTTATCTGAACAGGACTTCTTTGACTATTCAAAGATTAAAAAAAAAAGTCATAACTATTAACACAGTGAAACTTAACAGTTTATTGGCATCACACACCAAACAGTTTTCATAAAAAGAGGAAATGTATCAAGTATAGGCTATGAAAGTGCAAACAGCATTTTAAGAATTAGTTGCTTTACAATAGAAAATCTTAATGAGTTACAAAAAGTCATCATTTCTTAAAATAAGTCACCTAGAGATCAAAGGTGAAATATAAGTAAAGTAAAACCTTCTTCTTGATTTGCAGCCATTACAAACCCAGCAAACTATTTGACCAACAAACATGTCTCCTGTGGTCAGGACCCTTGAATCTATCATCACTTCCATCATCCATATGGCACTAACAGTTTAAATTCTTGAGCCTTGTATGAAAGCAAAAAACAAAAACAAAACAAAAAAATGCTGCTAGATTTAGTGTTCCTCTATGTGTCAACTTTTATAAGATAATTTACTCGAATCAGACATGAGTCTGTACATAAACAAAATGAGTTCCTTAAAGTCAAACATGATTGTTTTTCATGTTGAGTTACTCACAAGTCATTAATAAAAGCAGAAAGACCTACGTTATATTGCAACTTTCCTCAGATACATGATGCACATACATTTGTATTTCAATGATACAAATAACTTGCCTTTTTTTAATCAAATAAACATCGGGCACAGAATACTCACAATACTTTAACAGTTACATATCTTATCAAACCATTTAACCACCTGTTTTGTCCATCAGTGTATTGTGTGAATGAGCAAAAATCCTCATGCTACAAAGATCTGGATTTAATAATAAAACAAAAAAGACTGGAGTTTGTGTTCCTGCCAAATGTCACGAGAGAGAGACTCCTTTAAGGTAACAGGTGTTTTTGTGTCTGTGTGGACAGCACTCAGAAAAAGGTGGAAAAAGAACCGAATCATGAAGACTGACATGAAGGCACTGTAATTTCAGCTTCACAGAGAAGTGCTTCAAAGATATGAATTCCCCATTCACACAGTTGGGGAATTTCTCTATGCACTACCCTGCAGAGATTAATACACCGAAGCACAACTTGAGCAGTAATAATTAATAAAAATAAGACTGGGAGTGATTGCCTTGTTTTCTTATTGGCTGCCCTTCCCTGGTGCATATGAACCGGACCAATCGTCTTTCGCATTAAACATTCAGCGCAAACATCATTTTCACACGATCTACAACCGAATTCAAAGCATTCTCTGCAGAACGTGGGAGCTGAATCAAACAGAGCGCTCCCCTTCGCCCCCTCCCTCCTCTGGATCTGTCAGCATTTCTCATTTTTTAAGCTCTGAGAACGCTTCCTATTCAGCCTGATCCTTGGAGATGAATATCCATTGTCAAGACCATTCTGAAATATTTTTGAGCAGGCCACCTGCTTTTTCAGTTGAAGGAATAACCTTTTTCTCTCTCTCTCTCTCTTCTTCAAAGTTTCTCATAATATCCACTACCACTGCAGTGTTAAACTATTCAGTGTCACACAGCACACAAAAGCTTTTAGTGAGTGGGATTTGAAAAGAACACTGAACCACAAGCTCAAATAAAAATATGGCTCAGGATGTTCACATTTAGGGTTTCTGAGATTGTGATAATCAGGCACAATTTGCTTTTAAAAAAAATCCACTTGGTGACTGCAAACTGTGCTTTTATTAGTCAGTGTTTGGCACCTATGAAGAAAGCAGATTTGGACGGCAACAAGAACCATCTCTTGATCTGCATCCTATATAAAAAGATGATGTATGAATATTATAGCAACATATTTCATTTTCATCAAGATAGAATTTCTAATTTGTTTCAGATCATCTTAGTGTCGTTGCAGTGTGTGCTCACAATACTAAAAAAATAGAATAAAATAATCAGTGGTCTGTTTTCACTGCTGGCCTACAGTTCCTGCACTGGATTTAAACTGTAAATGCTTCTTTACATGCTCCCTCCCAATGTATATATATTCTTCATTCGCAGTACATTCGACACCAGCAGCTCCAGCCAGGCTGCTTTCCAATCTGTAGTGGTTTGTGGACTTCAGTGAACTTCCTCGTCGTCCCAGCCAGGCGACTCAAGCCAAGTGCATGTGGTCCTCCCACTCAGAAGAGCTGGTGCTGGGCAGCTGGTCAGAGGCATAGTCAGACGGTGGACTGTCAACATGGCAGCTCTTAGAGCTCGCACACTCGCCATGCTCTCCACTTCTGTCAGGCGCCGCCGTGTAAGGTAGCTGCAAGGTGTCCAACCCCACCAGATCCAACTGAGTGGGCCTCTCGGCGACAGCGCTCTCCTTCTCCTCCGAGTTGCTCGGCTTCTGCGTGCAAAACCCCGCGTCTGCCATCGCCTCCTGAGGTTTCCTGTCATTGGGGAAGACAATGAAGCCGCCTTTCTCGTCGTCTTGTGCGCATCCTTCTCTGCCTTCAGGAAGCAGAGCCACGCTGGGGTCAGTCGGTGGGACCAGGGTGATGCCCTGCGGATTCATGTCGTGAAACCAAGCCATGATGTTTCCGAGCAGATTAGCGTTTGTTGTCAAGGCAGACGACGACGACGCTTCGTTGCTGCCGCACGTGTTCGAGTCTGTGGAGGAAGAGAAAAGGCCAGTGGAGGAGTTGCTGCCTAACCGAGTGGCTGCTTTATGCACCTGGAGTCGGATGTCACAGTGCTCCACGTAGGGGGCGCCACTGGGGCCGGGAGGGTACTGGCCGCTGATGTTGCCCAGCCTGGCCAAGTTATCGGCTCGCTCCAGCAGTTCTGAGCTGCTGAGTGAAGCTCTGGGGAGGACGTCAACGCCCAGAGTGGACTGCTCAAGTCTGGAAGGCAAGGAAGTACCGATCGCACCAAGCGAGGCTTCGTTGGCCAGGGCATCGTGACTGGAGCCGATCTCTGTCATCCTCGAGTCTTGGAGAGAGAGCTGAATGGCCAGTAAAAGGTTTGGGTCATCCTCATCCAGGGAGTCGAGACCCTGCAAGAGCAAACAGGATGCAGGATGTCAACAACGCGAGCTGAAAAATACTGTCTGTTTTAGGGGTCTGCAACCTGCAGCTCTGAAGCCACAAGAGGCTTTTTGCACTTTCCACAATGGCTCTTAATAACTTTGGCTAAAAATGGACAGGAACAAGCTAATGCTTTTAAATAAAGATACAATAACAAAAGCAGGATTTTTAGTTGGTTTATATTTGTGCTTTTCTGAAATACTTGCACTGAACTTCCTTAAAAGAAAACACTAGAAGTACCAGCAATGTGTTAGGACGTGTCTCTCGTCACTACAGAAATCTGATTTAAAAGAAAAAACAAAAAAAGATAGACATCATTTTTCATGTTTCTTTATTTTAATCCTAAAAAATATAAACTTTTAAAAAATATTTTATTGATATGGAAAAAGTTGGAACCTGGTAGGAAGCCTTTATCACTTGTCAGTGAGTTTCTGTAAGCAAGTCTGCAAATATAAGGTTTACTAAAGAATAGTAACTCAAAACTAAGCCAATTTTTCTTTTCATTTTAATTAGGCTAATGCCAAAGTAAAGAGAGCATGCCACCTGTTGTAAATATTGATTATTTAACCTGACATGGTTTCCCAGCTGAAAGCCTTGAGCTCATATGAACCCTGTTAAATGTGCACTCACCATCAAATGACCTTGTCTGCGGCCACCGCCGACATCCTGGGCTTCTTTTGTTGGAAATAAATAGACAACAAAAAAAACAAAAAAAAAAAACACACGAGTCAAAATTACAGTCATTAAGCTGACTCTACAGCAATTTAATTCATAAGCAATTATCACATGTGCTCCATTTATTTCCAGTTTAGAGCACATGGCTACAACCACCTGGCAAAATACTGACCTTCAGAGTTTAAGCAGAAAATGGACTAATTATGAGCATTTAACTGAAATGAATAAATGGTCCTTGGCACAGCGGTTCCTCTTTGCAGCCTTCAAAAATGGCAAATCACCTCACACGAACAAAATAAATGTGATGAACAAGACTGACTGATTTAAAATACTGGGCTGCTCAGTTGTAATTTTTCTGATTTTGTTTATTCAAATAAAGAAAAAAAATCCTGGATTACTTTGGAAATTAGCTTTGAAGTTCAGGATATTCGAAGAGAAGTGCTAAATGGTTATAAGCAGTTATAATCCAACTTGCAGGATAAACTTTCTTGGGGTCTAAACTTTGTACAAATTCATATTAGTTGGTCCAAGAGGATGAAAGTAAAGCTCGGCCACCGTCTCCAGTCTCATCAAGTTTATATCTGAAATAAACAGTTAAATGTCTTCACCTAAATAAAATATGGTTCAGAACTAAGAGTAACTAAAGAAACCTATAGAGTCTCTGGAATAGTGTGTTAAAATATTACAAATTCAACATGTATACCATAATAATACCATTACTAAAAGTAATGGTATTATTAATTGGTTTTATTTTTTGGCCAGCTCGCTGTGTGTCGCACACTTCTGCCCAGAAGGGCCCTCTTGAAAATGAGATCCAGATCTCCATAGGGTTTACCTGGTTAAATAAAGGGAATTTTAAAAAAAGTTGCATTTCTAAGTAATATTTAGGACACACCCAAAAGGTAGCATTTAGGGTGTGTCCTAAAACCTTAGTTAAGTTAGAGACTTCTTCTAATTTCTCTTTAATAAGTCCCAATAAATATCACATTAGAGATGGAATAATAAAAAAAAGGATCATGGTTTTTCATTTTCCTACAACTTTACAGTGATCTTATAG